GCCACGAAGCATTTCTTCGACATGACTTGATCGCCCCAAATTTCCTCAATTTTCCCCATAGCCGAGAGAAATCTCATAACCTGGTGGTAGGTCGATGCTACAGCCTACATAGCGTGAAGCCAGCCCCTACCGAGGATCAGATTGCATGTAGACGGTACCTGCAATACCTAGAACTCCACCTACTTGACCACGGATCCGGTTTTGACAGGTAAAATTATTTTTCCCAAAGGCCACTTCAGTTGCGAGTTGAAACCTACCAGTGGCAAAGTTGCTGGAGCTAAGTCTGTATCTCGGAGTTTGAGTTATTTGAACGCGTCATAGTTCATAATTTCAACCGAGCTTCCGTGGTCAATCAAGATGCGTTTGGCATCGAGGTCTTTGACACGAAGGGTGACCACTAGGGCGTCGTTGTGTGGCGTTTGAATGCGCTCTAGGTCCCTTGTGAAGAAACTAATCACGTCTTTTTCCTCGGTCTTTCCCTTTTTGATCGCGGGTTAGACTGATAAAACTTCCCTTATGTGTTCCGCCTTTTTGATCATTTCTCGAAGCTCGCATACACACGCCGGCTCCACTATGCTATGGATCACATTAACCACTCCTTGAGGGGGCTCCTCCAAATCATCTGGTCTATACGGATCAGCCGGGGCGGGATGCGCGGCCTTAACACCCCCATCAATGTAAAGATTTAGGTGTCCGGCTGCGACTAACTCCTCCAAGTGTTGCTTCAGAGACAAACAGTCCTCTGTCCGATGTCCTCGCTCCCGGTGATATGTACAGCAGTACCGCGAATTAAAACCCTTTTGCGCGTCGCCTAACTTAGCAGGAAACCAGACGTAATCCTCGTTACGGATTTCACTAAGTATGCGATAGATTGGAATCTTAAAAACCGTGGTGATGCCCATCCGAGCTTTCAACCTTCTGTTAGCATCAGCTATGTCATTGTAGGGGTATTCAGCCCGGTCATTCCGACGACCCCTTCCCCGGTTTTGATGATTTGACCCACGGTCAGATTCCTTGACGCGATCATTTGGACGGTTAGTCTCATGTTCGACCGCGTGTACCTTGCCAGCCGACCTCTTGTTTGTTACCACCGGAGTTGTCTTCACGGTTGACGCTGCCACATCATCCTCTACGTGGATGTGCTCATTGATGCGCTGCATTAGTTGGCCCATGGATGTCGGTTGGTTCATGGTAAGCGAGTCTCGCAGCCTATGTCCGACCAGGAGACCGCGCTTATATTGGGTGATTGCCAAGTTGATCGGGCAATCTAAAATCTCATTGAAGATTTTCCAGTATCTGGAGTTGTATGCCTTGAGTGTGTCGCTCGACTCCACTTTGACACTGAGAAGGTGATCCACCTCCTTTGGCGTTTTAGTGTTAGTCTTGAAACGAGTCACAAAGGCTTTCACCAACTACTGCCACATTTCAATGCTTCTCTCCGGCAGCCTCTCAAACCATTTCAAGCCCAGCTCGCCCAAACTCGACGGGAAGATAAGGCACATAAGAGCGTCATTGCGCCTATGTCCGGCCATGACCTGCCGGAAGTGGCTTATATGTATGTATGGATCGGTCTTTCTGTCGTAAAGTGTAAACTTGGGCTGGTGAAAGCCCGCGGGGAGCGGTATGGTTTCTATCTCAAGGGAGAAGGGGGTGGCATTCAGCCTCGCCAAATCTGTGTCTAGAAGGAGAGGCACGGCTGGGCGGGGTGGTGGCACTATGACCTCTTCACTGGCATGACCCCCGTAAGATAGTCGTTGGAGCGCCGGCACCCTTTGAGTCTCTCGGCGGCGAGCCTACTCCTTCAAGACTACCCACAAGTCCTCTGAGCGAGCGGAGTAGGAATATCTCGACGTCGTCGTCGGACGTGAGGGTTGACAGGTACTATCTTGCGCGCTAGATTTCTCTACAGGCGTGTCGGAATCTCCAACCCTGTAACTTCTGGTGATGGAAAGGGAGGGAGTGTGCCACTGGCTCTGACTGCCTGAACGGTGTAGTTGAGTGCGCTCACTGTGGTCTCCCACTCCAGCAACACCTCTCCCTTTAACATGCCGTTTGAGAGCTTTCATCTCCGTCGCTATTCTCCCGATGACGGCGTCTTGGTCCCTTAACTTGTGCTCCAGATGTCTAGCGTGCGATTCTTTTCACCGTCGGTGTCCGTCCGGGCTTTGCGAGTGACCAAAACTTCTAGCGCGCTTATCACGCGCGTCTCTTGAATGTCCACCTGGGGAAGTCTTCAGGTCCGCCATGTTTGGAACGGCGGGGAGTCCGTCTCTCCGTCTGGCTGACAACAGGGTAACACTGTCGATGGCGGACAACGGTATTTCATCGTTGTTCGCCATGGAAGGCGATCATATGAGTTTGGAAGACAAGGTTTTGTCTATCCCTTTTCCCACAAACGGCACCAATTGTACGGGGGAAAGATATTCGTTGCTGTCCGTACTCTTTTCGTCCAAGCTTCGAATCTACCCGATCGACCTGAGAACACAACGGCGGTGAGCTACCCCGCGGTGTGTTGCCGGAAAACCCCTCCGACGATCAAGTTAGCACACACTCAGAGATAGAGAGAGAAAGAGGAAGAGAGTTGAGTGTTTAAGTTTCTCTCACCAAATGATGTTCCATCCCCAGTATGGGGGGCGCAGTCATGCTTATATACTTTCTGCGCTCAACTCTGCACCCATTGGTCTCTTGACACGTGGAGCTGCTCTCCCATCTGTCAGCACAAATCCAGCGAACACCACCTAACCAAACCGCCAGACAACATTACCGGGAACTCGGCAGCCCGGCGGCATCACCTCGGCTTCACACGACCGGGTTGCACAACGAGTCCCAGTGTCCACTCGCCGAGCTCCATAACAACCGAGCTTAGTAGTATTCTGGTAGAGCAGAGTTCCAGACAGGTCTAGCTGGCAAACAGAAAACCTTTCCGCCGAGCTAAACGTGCGAACCATGGAACCCGGGTTGGTAGGTGACCAACTCGGCTGAGTAAGCTCGGCCCATACACGGGGCTTGACCCTTGACCGATCAAGACCGATTCTGGACGCAGACAAGCCCAAGTAGCTCGGCCCTAACTCGGTCCTGGACCTCGACCGAGCAAAACCACCTCTAAATAGGCCCAAGTTAGCTCGGCCCAAACGTCCTCGGCCATCTTCTGTTCGGCTTCTACCACGGCCCAAAGCCAGATTATAAATCTCCCTCTCACACTTAATCTAAATATACTTAAGATGTATAATATTTTGTATTTTTTTTTTAAATTTACCAAATACAAAAAACATACAAAAATATAAAAATTTGATACATTATCTTATTTTGTTGTATTCAATGATTTTTTAAAAGTTTTTTTGTAAAAAATTAAACTTTTTAAATATATCTAGATTAAATTGATCTAATCTAGATATAATGGTGAAAAAAAAAATGAAAAATTATATTTATATATAAAAATTTATACAAAAAATATTACAAAAATGTTGTGACAATGATATTGTTGTAAATATAATTCATGTTTATGTGTATTTTATTTTAAAGTGTATGGTCAACATGAAGTTATATCATTGTGTTTGAAAATTTTATATAAAATTTATGTTTGTATATCATCACTCAATAAGAATATGTTCAGGTATAATTTAATGATAAAAAGTTGTAGAATGTAATCATGATGATAGGAAAAAAAATTGATAGGAAAAATGACAAAATGGTCATTTAAAATTTTTTGCGGCATGACGTCAGCAATCCATGGGGTAAATATAATTTTTTAAATGTGAGGAGAAAATTTGTATTAAACAGAAATCTCAAGAGTGTCAATGTAATTTACCCATACTTATATTCTTAATAAAAAAAAATATAATGATATATTATAGAGACACTCCTGAGATTTGCTTAAAATATGATTTGTCCCTCATGATTTTGAAAATTACATTGACCCCTTGAAGTTTTCACTTTCATAATAAATGACTCATTTTATTAATAAATTATCAAGTCAATTTATAATTTGATGTCAGAAATTTACTTCAATTAATAATTCATGTAATTTTATCATTATTTAAGAGAATAGTTAAAAATTTTATTTTTTCAATTAATTCTATGAAATAAAAAAGTCTAGTAATGAGGTATCCGTAATTTTTTAAATTACAGAGGACAATTTATATTTTAAATAAACTTTAAAAAGTATTTTTGTAATTTACCCAAAAAGTAGCTAGCTAGGAAGGTAATCCTAGTTTACTTTTTCTTGAATGATTCATTTCATTTGTTTTTCGATATTTGCTTGCGTATTCAGCATGACTTGGTAATAAATTTAGTATTACAGAGGGTGGTGGGTAATTATTCAGTAATTTTGGAATATGAATATATAATATTTTATAGTATTATGATTGGTAGAGAACGTGAGTATGCGAGGTATTATGTTGAGTAATTCGAGAACATGAAAAAATATATTAAATAATAATTGATTTGGAAGTACATACACGTGATACTCTAAAAATATTAAAAATTTGTCGATGTTGGGTCCATAAAGATGGTTATTAAAGTGCAAAAAGTGATAATAAAAATAGCATATTATAATGAAAGCTGTCAAGTATGAACCCATGATCTTTGGTTCTGGGGACTAGACCTTGCACATGCACATGCACATGCACGTGGCATGGGCTTTGGCATTTTGTTACCGTCCGTGGTTGCTTTCAGCTTTTACGTAAGTGTATTCGCTTTTTTGTGCCGTCTCTCTACGTTATTTACTAATCTAGATCAAGGTCGATCTTAAGTTCAACGTAACCCATTGACCAAAACTTGTTCAACGTAGTACTAACAATTTGTTCTACGTAACCCATTGACCAAAACTTGTTCAACTTAGTACTAACAATTTGTTCAAAAATAAATAATTAAATCTTTTCTCTTCCATATACTCCAATGTGCATTGGGATTTATGTATTTTGAATTTGGTAGTTAAGGTCAGATTTGACAAATATTTGTCTAGTAGTTTTTTTTTTAAAAAATTTATTTATAAATTTTTATGAATAATAATTGTTAAAAAAACTAATGCATTTAATAAATTCTTAAAATAACATTTTTGTTGGGGGCTATTTCAACCAAAATCAATCAAGGAAGAATTGAAATTGGAGACAACAATTTGGAATAGAAATTCCTTGCCCTCTTTCCCGTCTATGATGAACTCAAATCCCATCAAACTCGAACATTATTCAGTGTCACTAATTCTTGCGAATGGGCCAGCCTAGCCGGTTCTAAAATTTAAAGTTTAATCTTTTTATCTATCAATTTTGACCCGTCAACAAGGAAGGCTCGAGTCTACCGATCCTCCTAAGGTCCAAACCTTAACCATAAGCTTGGCCTGTAGGATCCTAATTTAGGCTTTAGTTTGGACTTTTTTATTAAATTTAAAATTCATTATAAAAAAAAAAAGGATTATAATACAAAAATCTGAAATGCATTGCACGATTAGAATTGCATAAATCATGAAAAAATAAAAAAATAAAATATTTATTAAAATACAAAATTACATCAATACATCTATTATGTTATTAAATTGTATGCATCTTTAATCTCACAAAAATATAATTGGTGTGCTCAGTCATTTTTTTATGTATCTTGTTGCCTTATCAAAAATGCATATCTACACAGACCACCGCCCCAAAAAATAAATAAATTAATAAATAAATGTATTTAGTGTAGGATTCGGACTAGGCTTTGAAAAGCCCATCAATCTGGGCTTATGGGCCATGCCAAGGGCCTCACCCCTTCAATCCAAGCCCACTCCATATATTTTAGGCCCAGTCTAGTCCGGTCCATTTTGAGGACTGGGCTGCTCTGGCCCAATAGGCTATGACTTTTTGATGGACAAAATGAATCTCCTCCGTCTATTTGTTTCTCCATCAAAACCGGTTGTGTTGCATTTTCAGATTGGTAAAGGTGACAGAATGTAAGCAATACATATCCCAACTTTCTTTCATATAAAGTAAGGTAAAATTATTAGGTGTTCACGAAATATTATATGTTTATATTTTTTTTTATTAATTATTATTTATTATGCCTTTCATATTAATCACTAAATGCAAATCATATTTATTAATTATAATATCATAAAATAACAGGTAACCATTCTTTGAAGTACTCAATAATCACAACCCAAAGTCCTCAAACTTTGACACTTTGCTTTCGCCTAAGATCATGGGTATTAATTGACACCAGTTGTCCATATAAAAGTTTCAAACCCCCTCATCCATGGCTTCTTCTTCTTCATAAACAACCCAAATCAACTCAAGCCCTCTTTCACCTCTTAAAAAATGCATAATCTTTCTCATCAATCATCTTCATCCCCCAAAACCCAACACTCTCGCCTCACAAAACTCATCATAATCTCATCTTCCTTATGCATTGTCTACCTCCTCCTCTCCCTCCTCCTCCTCCACACTTCCAAGCTCGTCAACTTATCAAGATCTTCTCAAGACCTGAAAGCATCCACCTCCATCGACCACCTCGTCTTCGGCATTGCCTCCAATCACAATTCTTGGCCTCGAAGGAAAGACTACGTTAAGCTATGGTGGAGACCTCATCAAATGCGAGGCTGCGTTTTCTTAGAAAACAGGTCACCCTCAACTTCCTCCCAAAACGACACCTCTCTCCCTCCGGTTTGCCTCTCCGACGACACCAACCGGATTCGGTACCTGAACCGGGGCGGGCTCAGGTCGGCTATCCGGGTTGCTCGGGTGGTGTCCGAGATTGTGGCTATGAACCATTCGAATGTGAGGTGGTTTGTGTTTGGTGACGATGATACGGTTTTCTTTCCCGAGAATTTGGTGAAGACTCTTTCAAAATATGACCATGAGCTTTGGTACTATATTGGGAAGAATTCTGAGGTTATTATGCAGAACAAGGTTTTTTCTTTTGATATGGCTTTTGGTGGAGCTGGTTTTGCTCTTAGTTATCCTTTGGCTAAAGTGCTTGCTAAGGTTTTTGAGTCTTGCTTGGAAAGGTACATTTATCTTTATGGAAGTGATGGTAGGGTTCAAGCTTGTGTTGCTGAGCTTGGCATTGGGTTGACTCGTGAGCCCGGTTTTCATCAGGTATTAATCAGTTCTTCTATTTGTACATATATCAGAATGAGATACGACCCTCTCACTTAGTTGTGGAGTTCTGTCCGATTCTGTGATTGATTTGTGTGTTCTTAAATTTTTTTGGTGTCTGATTCTTAAATTATTAGATGGATATTCGGGGAAACATGTTCGGTTTGTTGGCTGCACATCCAAATACACCAGTAGTGTCTATGCATCACTTGGATTTCACAGATCCAATCTTCCCCAACATGACAACTACACAGGCTCTAGAGCACTTACTTGAAGCTGCAAAGGTTGACCCTCACAGGCTCTTGCAGCAAACAGTGTGCTACGACAGATGGTTTTCGTGGACAGTGTCGGTGTCGTGGGGCTACGCTGTTCAAGTCTTTGGCAACCGCGTGTTCTTGCCGGATGTTCTTCGTACACCGCAGTCGTTCATCCCGTGGAAAGGGGGAAGTGTTTTGGCTGAATCGTATGTTTTTGACACGAGGGAATATCACCCGGATCCCTGTCGAAGGCCTGTTGTTTTCTTCTTTGAAAGGGTGGACTATGCCAAGGGAGGAGGTGGAATCAAGAGCAGTTACAGAAAGATGACAAATGAAGATTGCGCATTTGACACGGGTTCTCCAAGGAAAATTGAAGCGATTACAGTGTTGTCACAGAAACTAGACCTTGATATCAAACAGGTACTGTTTTTCAAGCCATTCTGTTTCAAAATTTCGTTTCTTTTGTCTCAATTCACTCATAGGCGTTTAATCATTGCTCGAGATTCTCATATTTCAAAATTTTCACGTGATTCAAGGACTGTAAATGAATTAGGAAAGAGGAACAAAGGATTTTTGGGATAAGGATACTCATTTTCAGGGCAGGGATTCTTTGTTAAAAAAACCTTTTAGTTTTTTTGTCCCAATTCACTCAAAAAAGTTGATTCATATCAAACCACTGTGTTGATTGAAACAGAGGATTTTTGGGACAAAAGTTTGTTAGCCCATTTTCAGTTACAATAATGCTACACTGGTTTAGATTACCAAACATTGAAAACTGTTAGATATTAATAAAGTTCATGTGAAACCTATTACCTTAAGAATTGTGAATGTGTCATGTTAGATGATAAATTAAACTTATGAAGTCAACTGATTGAGAATCAGGCCCTGCTTGGGAAGTTAGATTTAGGCTAAAATAGCCAACAACGATAAAATAGACTAAAATAATCAATAAGATAAAATGTCACATTCAAAGCATAATTATTCCATTTTTTCTCTCATAATCATCAAATCAACTATAAAAAAAACCCAACTATCATCCCAAATACAACTTTTTTAGCCATGCAAAAATAGTGAAAAAGTCAACTAAAATAGTCTATTCCTGAACAGGGACTAATGTATCTTGTTCTTAGAACGCTACAAAAAACACTCACTCATATATATTTTGGTACCCAGTTGCAGGCACCGAGACGGCATTGTTGTGATATATTGCCATCTTCAGCTGGGAAAACAATGGAAATTTCCATCAGACAATGCAGAGAAGAAGAGTTGATTTACATGCACCCGTAATGCTTTTATGATTATAGATAACATCAGCGGCCGCTTCATTCATGACCTTCTGATTTGACTAAATCACATGCAATGGTCAATGCCAAAGCTGGATCAGACACTTGTGTCATGCCATTTTATGGAGGTCATAGATCATGACAGGACATAGATGAGCACTAATTATCAGTGGATATTGGATTTCTTGCTTTGTGGGACAATTCCTGAAGACTCAACTTCAGGCCCAAAGTGAAGCCCCCAAGTTTTGCATTGGCCTCTCTAGCTAGTCTTAATTTGCAGCAGCAAAGGAAAATTCAGAATCTGAAAGATTTGTGAGTATTTATTGAGCTGGTAGAAGAAACTTCAACTAAGCTTATGTATACCGGGTTTTTGTTTATTAAGAAACTTGTGAGTTAATCAAAGAAAAAATTCATATTGTACCAAAGCTTTTTCCCTTTCCTTTACTTTTTTTGTTTTTGTTTTTGGATTAGGAGGAACTTGTCCAATCTAGGATCAATTTGGTTTGCATCCAATCCAACAGAGTAAACTCAATAACTAAGCCACAAGTATTGGGTAAGTTGGAGAGTCACCAATGAGAATCAAGCACAATATCTTTGAATTTACAATTAGTCTTAATGACGACTTTTGAATTACTGAGCTATGGTTTAAATTGTATTTAGACTTGTCCCTGTACAGCATCATCCTACGTTTTGTTTACACCCCTACTTACCTATGTACATGATTTTTATTACGTGAATACATATAAAAGGTAAAATTGAATTGTGAAATGAATTGAGCGCCAAATAACATTTTTATTATAGAGAAGAGAGAGAGAGAGAGGAAAAAAAAAAAAAAAAGGAAAGGGGAAGGGGCTAATTACATGAGTCTTTTTTGAGATTTTTTACAATTATAAGAACCTTCTTATATAGTTTTTGAAATTACATTATATTCTCTTATTAAAATTGTCAAAGTGAAATGCAAAAATTTTAATTACACATAAAATATATTGTGCGGTTGAAATTCATCCAAAGTATGATGTGGGCTATATTTAAAATGATTTTAACCCCACAATATATTTTCTATACATTTTTTGTGTTATATGTTTTTATGGACCTAGCATTGTTGTGTTAATAATGTGAATTCAAAAAACAAAAAAAAGGACAAGGCTCTGTTTAATTTGATTTTAGAATATGTTTTTAGAATTTTTTTCCAAAATCTAAATATAATTCGGTGAAAAAAATTAAAAAAAATATCAATTTCATATAATTTTGTATTTTTGGAAGGTAAGAAAATAATTTTTATAAATTTAAAAATATCTTTCTAATATTTATTGCAGTCAAACTAATTTCCATTTTTACTATAAAAAAATAAAATTCAGAAAAAAAAATTTAGAAATAAAATTACTTCGAAAGGGGATAAGCTCCTTTCCATATATCATCTCTATATACATCTCCATACTCTTTTTATAAGTTTTAATTCTGACATGTACTAATGATTTAAACCATCTATTTCGTAAGTCTCCTAATGATTTATGCAAAAAATTAGTTTTATAGGACAATTATAAATATAGGAACAAATTGCATTTTATTTTATAAAATAGATGGTTTAAATTTAATTATATTTTCCATTTTCATAAAATAAGATGTGATTTATTTTTGCATTTATAATTTTTTGATGAAGTTGATTTTATTTAGTGGCGTGTTATCATTATATGAGTTTTACGTTAGTTCAAATTTATATTTTAACTACTTTCCCTTCTACAATTAATTGTACATTAATTAACAGCAAGAGATGGTCATTGTAGCATTACTCGCTATGAATCTTGTTAATAAAAAAGAAATGATTTGATTGATGCAGATGAGAAAATGCAAAATAAAAGAAGTCAGACATTTTCCGATGTAAAAATCAGCTGCCACTCTCTGATGATTCTACCACGAAAGTGGTAATCAATTGGCAACCCCATTTTTTGTTCTTTACCTTTAATTAGCTCATTCAAATCCATTGTAATTGTAATTAAAGAGTTATTTTGCTCAAACAATACACGTGTGCAATATATGTCATGAAAAATAATGGATTGAATTTAATTTCATATTGTTGGGTACACGTAATTTTATTCTTCCGGATTCATACACTTTATTATTTTTTACGGGTATTTGGGAAGTATGGAGTCTAATCGAGTAGAAATCTATTATTGGTAGGTTTTAATAATTGTATGAGATTACAATTTCTTATATTTGCCTTCAAATAGAGGACTTAAAAGAATTCTGGAGGTGTGAGATGGGGAGGATCTGTAGAGATGTAGGGGAGACAGAAAATCACCGGGCACTGAGTGTGAGCCGGGACAGGTAATTATTTAGTAGTTCTGGTGTACCCCGTGACATTGTCTACGTGGTACTTCAAATCAATTACGTAGTAAAATTTTTTACAGGTGAGACATGTTAACTCACTTTTGTTAGGTAGTTAAGAGATAAAGGATGACTCACTTAATATATATTGCAGTTTCTCATCAGTCAGGAATACCATATAGAAATGACTCAGGTAATTCGGGAGTATTTAATAAAAATCTGAATGAGAAATGAGTTTGTTTCAGGCTTTCGGGGCTCAGTTACTCGAGTAGGGAAACCAAGATTATTTCGGAGCTTGGATATTGTATCATATTTTTGTGTGTTTTTGGTCTCATGTTTATATTCTCTAATAGTAAATTTCTCTCTGGTACGAAAACAGAAATGTATCAAAAGCACATGCAATAAGACATGATTTATTAGAAAGTAGAATTGACTTGGTAGTTTCTGTTAAGTGCAATTTCACTACTCCTTCCTCAAAATAAGAAAAGAAAGAGAAAGGCCAAATAAAACGAATTTCTTTGGTTGATAACAGGCTAGCATTGACATATTGAGGACAAAAAATGTGTTACTACTGATTACTGACATTGAATTCTCCCTCAAACAAGACCTTCCATTTCTCAGTCAGATATACACGGAGGCACGCCAACGGTCAAAAAAACTGGGGAATCAGTACGAGGCTGTGTGGCTTCCAATCATGAATGACTCCTCAACCCCATTGAACGAAGAGAAGCAAAAGCAAGTTGAGACAACACGAGTGTCGATGCTGTGGTTCTCGGTGTCTCATCCTTCAATGGTTGCTCCTGCATTCGTATAACATGCCAAAGATGTGTGGCACTTTGACAATATGATGCGAATTTGGGGAAGTGTTGCTTTCCCCTTCACTAGCTCGAGGGAGGAACAACTTTGGGAGGACGAGACCTGGGCGATCAAGTTACCGTTGCACCTCATGTATCACTGCAAGACTGATTAAAAAAAAAAAAAAAAACTAAAATTTACTTACTGATGAATGTATAACATTACTGATGAATGGTTGTTTTGAAAATAATTTGAAATGTATTAATATACATAAACCTATACTGTTAAACTTGACTTTTCAAGGTTCTGATTGATTGTATATGAAAAGATTTGGATAATTGTCTTCATAGATATCTTCAGAAATCTGGTGTGGCTAATTTTGGCATTTGGGATTTTAATTGTAGCACTTACGTGACGAGAAACTTTGGTTTGTAAAAAAGTTTATATTAAGCAAAGTTTACCATACTAGAAAAAACACAACCAATTATATGAAGATATACACACATGTTTATATATTGTCTTTTGTTGGATTGATTTATTTTAGGTTCAATCTAAATAGAGAACCTAAACAATCCAATTGATGTAACCAGTTTTAAACCCAAAATTGAACTCTAGCTCTTCAAGTGCCAAACTAACACAGGAGGAATGATCTTCTTTTTCAAGAATTTCAAGTTGGTTGTCTGCTCAATAAATATAATAGGGGGTTAAATGAATATATGGCCCTAAAATCAAGAAATTGTTGGTTGTCTGCTCAATAAATATAATAGGGGGTTAAATGAATATATGGCCCTAAAATCAAGAAATTAGTAGACAAACTATAGACCATCATTGGACGGGCAGATAAACGCGTGGTCTTCCAGAATTCACCGATTTTTTTGACTCTTTTTTTTTTTTTTTTAATACCGATAGGGGATTAATAACAATATTAGTGAATTACATCAAACTAAACCATCAATTAGAAAAAATTAAAAAGGTCCAACACCACATACATACAAATAAATAACTCTACCAACTTATTTTCTTTTCAGTGTCTGACTCTGCACACTTTACAACTTTTTCTTTATTTTCTTTATTATTTATTTTTTTAAATTTTGTGGCCTGTGAAATTTTTGTTCGATACACAACACTTTCAAACTCGTTTAATTTCTTCAATTACAATCTTATAATGCAATTGCATTCTTTGAGCCTGAGCCAGAGAAACATGTCCAGTTTATCAAACTTATTTCTGTACTCAACTCTTATTCAACATTAAAATGGTTGGCTCGACTTCAGCAAAATCTATCAGGCAAGTTTCAATTCATACCATTGATACACCTTGTATAAAATTAATAAATGATTGTACACTAACCTGAGAATAGAACAAAAAGGCTACGTGCACAGAAAAGTTTTCACAGAATTAATTTGCTGCAATTTGCAGCAAAAGAAGTTGCAAATCTGAAACAAAAACAAAAAGATTGGGGCAAATAATATGTCAGAGAAAAATGGGAACCAAGTAGTCAAAGATCAACTGCTTAAATTTATCAAGGAGGATGTGAGAAATGCTCCTCCTTCCACCTTTGCTCCTTCCATCTTCAGAGTTCCCAACCAACTCCGCCAAGGCAAAGAAAAATGCTACAAGCCAATGACAGTATCTGTAGGCCCTTTTCATGCTCGACGGTGATGAAAAAGATGATACGAGTCTAACCTCTTAGCATTGGAACTATGTTCCGAAGAAGAACAACATCATAAACGTGTCTTCACAGCGTGCCATGGTCATGGACGGACTTATCAGCAACCAGAAGGATGTGGAGGTATTTCTTCAATCTGGGGTTTTGCAGGGTCGAGTCAATGATTTTAGTGGATTGGTGTCTCTCTTTAATAGTCTCTCTACAAATGTGATTACCAATCCAGAGGACTTTCACTTTGCAAATCAACTTCAAAAAATGAATGCATATTGTGAGACTGGCTTGCACTCTCTACGTGCCTTATTGGTGCATAATTACTACAATGCGAGGTGGCATGTACTGAATACCATTCTCCTCTTTATCCTCACCTCACCTAAACCCAAAATCTATTTGCTGTCCTCTCTTACTCTCCGGAAAATCACAAAAAAAAATGACTCTTTTCCCTCAAACTTTCCCACTCCCATATAACATCTTTCATCTTCTTCTCATATAATTGGAAATCTTAGAAAAGCATTTTGAATTTGGTAAACAATATCGCGTATTCTTCGCCCTTTTAGTGTTTTTCCTGTATCAAGAACACTTATTAGCAAAACCCACTTTGTCATATTAACCAACATTGTTGGACTTGTTTGAAGTGCATAAATTTATATCTTTATAACAAATTCCAAGTCCTTTTTTTTTTTTTTGTGTGTGTGTGTGTTTTTCAAGACCTGGCTTTAGGGTTAAGAATGCTATTTTTTTCCAGAAAATGTGGAGAACCCATAATTTTTTTTCCAGAAAATGTGGAGAACGTAATTTGATAGCAATACACTACATTCATCTTGATGACATTTCTAGCAAACATATAGTGTTCCTATTGCTTACTATTTTCATATTAGGCCTCAACACGGCTCTTATGGCTCTGCTTTCTTGCCAAATCAATGCCATAACTGTATCACCACCGATTCCGATACCGATATGCATACCGTTATTTAAAAAATGTTTCCAACTATATCATCTTCACAAATTTTAAGTATAAGGTTGTGCTTATTGTGATTTGCTGGAGGGTGGATGAAAATTAAGTTAGTTTTCATTTTGTTATAAGAGAGTAGTTGGACAACTTTTTTTTTCCATGTTAGGTCAATTTGTAGAAAAAAATCTAGCTATGGGGCATTTATAATTTTCATAACGTGAGGAGAAAATCCATATTTTTCATAAATCTCTGTGTTTTTAATTTATTCTAAAAATCAGATATAAGGTATAGAAAGTCCAAATTTGGAAAAATTGAAGGGCTTGAAGGTTCAATTTTTTGGGGGTGACAGTTGTCTTCAAGTTGTGGATCAGAGGTATAGAAATGTATTAGTTGGTATATAATAATGTTTCATTCTGGCAAATGGTAGTTGGTTTCATAGATTGGATGAACTCCTCTACAAAAAGTCTTCCCTTTCCCCACACCGCATGGATCTACTCTATAAACTATTTTGAGTTAATCACACCAACACCTTTTAATTATTAATGAACATTAGTTTATCACACCAACACCTTTTAATTATTAATGAATATTAATTTATCTTCTTTATTTATGAATCTACATATTTTGACACTCTTAATTATAAAAATATATCATCTTCACTCCTTTCAGACCACCTTAAAAAAGGATATATTTGTACGACTTTCATAATTAAGAGATTAATGGTTGATAAGGTCTTGATGTAATTAATCCAATATTTTTTACTTTATTTTTTTATGTTTGGGGAAAAACAAGAAGTTGAAAGAGAATAAAAAAAATCTCTCTCAAAATTATGAAGTCGAGGTTCTAACAAGTGATAATTTGAATGTTGAAGTTAGAAACATCTCCACACTATTAATCTAAATAGTCGGTGTTTATTTGAACTTTTTTAAATCATTACACAAATTTCTAAAATAAAATGAGCCATAAGCACACCAATAACCTCAGGATTTCAAATACATATCCAAATTTTAAACTTTCGACATTGATATTTACCAATATATAGGCAATAGTGACTGATATCAAATGAAAGGTGACCGTTCACCAAACATGTGCACAAATGCAGCAAACATGTCAGATTGGTAACCAGCTTAATTTCTAGTTAAGAGCGCACCTCAGGATTTGAGAATATGGGAAGAATGTTTCCTCCCTTTGAAGTTGATGAATGCTCGAATTACGCTCCACCTCCACCACTTGGCATGTTCATTTAAACTTTAAGAATCCAGAAAAACCAAGTCAACCAATGTGTACCTAAGCTAAGTCAAATATCACAATTATATAAACTACTCTACATCAATTACCAACTTGGTAAACAATAGACCAAAAATAAATAAACATTAAATTGAAGGTGTTAGAAAAATACGGTGAGATGAGAAGTTCCTAAGAAACAACCTATCGGTGGCATGTCTTCATAATACTTAATTAAAATGAGCAAGACATGGATAAAACTAATATTATCTTCATTGTGAAAGCACTCTGTCTTTTGTGCCTTCCTGTGTATATAAATGGAATTCAATTCCTAACTCAGAACCGAAACGCATACAATTTCCTCTGAAATTTACTTCTGCTTTCTGAATTCCACATTGTGGTTGAAATGGCAATGCTGAGAACACTAGTGGGTTTGGCTGTTACGGGCATGCTCATCAATGTAGCCATGGCAACAAGTTACACTGTTGGATCTCCCAATGGTGGCTGGGATCTAACCACCAACCTGCAAGGATGGGCATCGTCACAATCATTTTCTGCCGGAGACAGTTTGGGTAAGTGTTCATATTCATTTCTGATCTTTTAACATTGACCAACCTCGGTTACTTGTAAAGTACAAAATTTTGAAACAGATGATTCTCTATCTAGATCCCCCTGTAACCCTATCTGCAAGCTCCTCTCCATCACACAATTTGGTAGGAAGGACCCATCGTGTGATAAATAGGTGGCTTGGAATGGGACGGGAGGATTTGGACACAGATTCAGCTTCTTCTAGATGAAATATTAGATAGAAACGTAATTGTGTTACCATTTGACATAATCTTTGACATGCTCTTAAATTGCAGTTTTTCAGTACACACCAAACCATGTTGTGCTTGAAGTTACGAAGGCTGACTATGACTCCTGCCAGACTAGTAACCCGCTTCAGACGCATACTGGCACCAACACAGTCATTGCTCTCCCTTCTCCAGGAAAGAGATATTTCATCTGTGGAACCCCGGGGCATTGTGCCCAAGGAATGAAGCTTGAGATTGACACGCTTGCAACTTCTGCACCACCGCCAACTTCCCCAGCTACCCCTCCACCAACAGCAACTCCTACAAACCCACCACGGGCTTCCCCAGTTTCCAAAATTACCCCTCCACCAACAGCAACTCCTGCAAGTCCACCGCATGCTTCACCAATCACCCCTGTTTCCTCACCACCACCTAAAAGTGTAGCTCACACACCCATGCATTCTCCGTTATCTGCTCCTGCAATGTCTCCTCCAATGCTACGCAAATCACCTGTGAGCAGTCCCACGTCATCCCCTGCAGTTCCTTTGACAGAATCTCCTATAAACTCTCCTTCTCCAAGTGGCTCTACTCCGTCACCTCCCTCATCATCAGCTACCAAAGTTAATACTCTAGTAGGGTCTATGGGATTTGGTTTTGCTATGGTGATGCTACTGAGTCTTTGAGCTTTCGATAAAAAAAAAAACAGAAAAGGGGGAAAACAATCTTGCACGTACATCCAATTTTTTGTTCTCTTTTTTTTTTTTTTTTCCTTCTCTGAACCCACTTTGGGAGCATAAACAAGACAAATTTCATTTGTATTTCACACATGATTTTCCACTGTTGACAAAATAAATATTGATGTTGTTATTCATTTACAAAACCATAATATAACATGTAATCCTAATTGGGCAGACAATAATTTCAATTCAACAAGCATTAGCATTTAATCTATTGTGTTATTTTCAGTTAGCTATTCAAAAAATCAATTTCATTATGCAGAAAGAAAATCCAACAATCTTAATTTCTCTTTGGTATCATCCAGGCACAACACCTCTAGCTCATTTTCCAGTCCAACCCATTTCTTCTTAAGAGCTAAGATGCAAGGTAAATTGATAATAAATGATGACCCAGAGTTTGCTTGTTCAAATAATTGGAAATTAAAAAACAAAACAAATAAATAAATAAAAACCAACGTGATCACTTATTGTATTTTACATGCAATCAGCAGAAACATGAGTAATCAGTTCCTAAACATCAAGCGTCCATCTAATCAAGTTTTTCCAATTTCAAGAAACCAACATCAGCACCATATATAACAATTAGAGAATACAACAAATGAGGGCCAGAGGAAATATGGACTAACCATTTGATCATCCAACTTAAGCAACTGGAGGACGAAGCACATGATCCTGTGATGTGTCACGAACAGCGGATGGTATGAATTGCCACATGGCAACACCAGGGTAACCGATGAAAGGCATTAGCTTGTTACCAGCAGCTTGCCCCTGAGATGCAGCAGGAACAGCAGAGGGATGAGGCAGGAAGCCTGGTTGCGCACTCATGGCTTTGACTTGCTGCTCCAGCTTCTCCTTATCTTCCTTTAGCCTCTGCTTCTCATCGCGGAGCTCATTCTTTTCAGCCTGCACAAACAGAGAAATCAAACATTTCACCCAGTTTCTTTCATTTAAAATAAGAAGAATAATCAACAGAGCATTTTGTCCCAGTCAGATGGGGTTGGCTAAACAGATAGAAAATGAATAATCTTTGAAATAGCTGATTTAACCCAAACCTCACCTTCAGTTCTTTAATCTTCTCATGCAAATCCTCATTTGACTCCCTCAGCTTCTGGGCTTCACTTCGTAGCTGAGTCACCATGCGAACAGCATCACTCAGAATAGCAGCTTTGTCTGTTTTTGGTGGCTTTCCATGCTCCAAGACAGATCCCAATTCCAGGAACCTTGAAGTCAGGCCATAATTAATGTGAGAATCAATGAACAGGCAACAACAATGAGAAAAGAGAGCGAATAATAGCATACCTCTCATTCAGCTTATATCTCCGTAATTTCTCCCGACATGCTTTGGAGCCAGATGCACTGCATGATTCAGACTTTAACCTGCAAAAGCAATTCTGCATACATTATAGAACTAATGGGAGAGAGAGAGAGGGGTACTAATAAAATTTTGTTGAGTTAAACAAGAACAAGTTACAGAGCAGTACTAATAAAATTACTGAGTGACAACAGGATATAATGACCTCAGCCAACTACTGCTAAGCTTTTGGGCCGAATTTTTTTTTTTTTTGCATGCCTTCTATATCTTTTCCTTACAGAAAATATTTCAAAACTTGAAATTGAAAAGAGTGATGCAGATACTTGAATAAACTAAAGGCCTATTCAAGGGAGCCTGCAGTGAAAATTATGTACACAGAAACTGTTAACACCACTAGGTATTGTTGTCAGACCCTGATTAATTTGAATCCTATTTAGGCAAACAAGTAAACCCGTTGGACCACACATTTATATCCAAACCATTAGAGTTTGTTTGATTGGTCAGATTATAGTATAGGATCGGGATTATTAAACCATGGGACTCACATTTCAGTTTTTTAAAAAAATTATTGTCATCCGGATTAGAATCCGATGGGCATTCTATCCAAAAAAATTTGCAAATTTTTAATCCTACAATTGATAATGCAAAACAAACATATAATTGGAATTATATTTTCCATATCCATTGCAAAAGAAATGTGGGCAAGAGCGGATTATGTATCCCACTAATCTAGCTGGATAACCAATCCTACACTACTCTCATGGATTGGTAATCCTCTCACTATTAATCCTGCTAAACAAACATGGCCTTAGTGTATAAACTGAAAAAAGATCATGTAGAAATTTAATGTAGAAATTTAATGCATAAAGAGAAATAGAGAATTGTATTATTGATTGATATAATGTTATATATATTACAATGATTCATGATTCCTATATATAGAAGAGGGTGAGTGTGTAGTAGGTAAGGAGTAGGTGAAGTGGAGGTGGTAGTGGTGTAGTGGGTTAGGTTTAGTAGAGTAGGTTTAAGTGGATGAAGTAGGTGATAGGTTTTAAGTGGGTGAAGTAGGTGATAGGTTTTAACAGATCAGATGGTGAGAAATTGGGAAAGGTCTAAAAAATCTCATACAAGTCGTTCATTTCTGGACTTTTCAGCACCCATAGATTTCAAGTACATAATTGAAAGCATCCAACCCAACAAGAATTTATGTTTAAATTCATATGTTGGGATAATTAATTATACATTCATTTTGTTTTATCAACTTAGACACTAGTGATTACTTATCAAAAAGAAAACTTCTAAACTAATGATGGATACAGTGATATTACGAAATACATACACACATCAGTACGTACAATATGATTTACTCAGACCAGAGTTTTAAAAGGCTTTCTTGAGGCTCGCCTCGATGCTCGCCTCGCCTTGAGGCTAAGGTAAAACGCATCAAGACTTTGATTTTTAGGCATTACTCCCCAAAGCCTTGCGCATCATAGTTTGAGACATATGCCTTAAGTGCACTTTTTACGCTTTTTGCGCATAAGCATGTGAGGAGTATGCACAGGCAGAAGTTGCCCTTGGCATTTGTTAAACTTAGTCTATTAGATTGTTTAAATATAAAAAATTAAAAAAAATCCATTTTTACGGCTATATTCTACAGGAAAAATTAAATAAATGATCAATCAAGAAAAACACAGTTAATGGTCAAGTGAGAAACTCAATCACTGAAGTCAAGAATATCGATTTCTCTTTCAATGAAGGAAAACTTCCTTCTATGCAGTAAAATGTTCAACGCGTTAAAGCAAAAAGTATTTACACATTTATATTTAATTTTGTTTTTATTTTTTTAACTATTTAAAAATATTTAATTTATTCAGTTAATATTAAAATTTAAAATTTGAAATGCTTGCGCCTTAACGCCCTGAGGCTTACGCCTCGCCTCATGAGGGGTAAAATGCCTCAAGGTACGCATTCGCCTTTAAAAACTTTGACTCAGACTATGGCACCTAACAATGTTTTCTACTTCGCAATTACTCAAAACTTCAAATAATTTAAGATACATGCTAACAAGTAGAGGCATCCATATGGTATATACTATATACATTATTGAGTATATATAATTCAAAACATTGCAAGCAAGAGGTAGAAGGCAGTAGCTTCAGTTGCACTGCAGGGGTATCAAGTCTTGTCACCCATAGTCTTGTATCTGAATTTATAAAGCTGATGATTCGAAGTTGACTCGTCCAGACCAGACTTGCTTAACCCATCCAACTTTCTTGGGTCACATAAAAACAAACCAGTCAACCAGAACTAGGAAGTATTATATTTCAACTGACGTATTCAGGATCACCAATCTCGATATAATACAGAGGAAGAGCCAAGATATTTCTATTTGGGGGGCGTATTGAATGCATTAAAATGTGGACTAGTAAAAGATAGTAAAAAATTTACTTTGACAAGTAATCTTTTTTCTGAGTACTTAAACTCTCGTTTTTTTCAAGTTTTCTCCAATTTCATCATATTTCTAGAGTTTCTGTTCTACAATTACTCAAAATGCCTAATTTCTAAATATTTTAGTCAACCATTATAATTGCTTGATTAATGTTTCAAAGGACAAATTATATTGGTGTAATCCAATTGTCTTGTATTATAATTAAATTTTATTTTGAAATCCAAAATCCAACTTGTCTCGTTTCAGTTGAAACTCAATGCTTTGTTTTGAAACTTTTAAATTATCTAAAATATCTTAAAAGATGAAAAATAATAAAAATGTGCGTCTTCATTAACCAGTTAGATATTTTTAACATTTATGAAATCAGTATAGTTGAGCAGGGGGTGCCACTTCAAAGGAAACTACTAATACCACCATATACTATGCTCATGTAACACCTACCCCCTGCCACTGCTCTGATAATGCAGTCACTATATCTCATTAAGTAGCCAAGACAAGATTGCTAGTTACAGTTGCATTTTATGCAATCTTGTCTTGAAGCCGTCTTACATATCAAGTTTTCCAATGGAACTTATATATATTTTGCACATTTTTAATTGAAAATATTTGAAAAGATGACAAACATTAAGTATATGTATATCTTCTTTAACCTATTAGATTTTTTTTTATAATATATATATATATATTTTTTGATAAATAATCAAACTTTATTAGAAAGCATCAAGACGATGCAAAAAATACAAAAATGCAGCCCACAAAAGGACTGAACAAAACTAACTAATCAAATCCTCCACAAAATCTACAAAGACCAAAACATTGGGATCGACTGTACTCGTAACCCAACTATGCAACACCATCAACAACCTATTCTCTAACCACAAAGCGGAATGACACTCATCCTGAAACACTCGCCTATTCCGTTCTAACTAAACCAACCAAAGCAAACAATGGGACGCAAGCACCCAAGCCTTCCGGCGTCTCTTGCTCACCTGAGCCCCACCTCAACTCTGTAACACGCCCAATAAAAACCCGGTTGCACCCACACTAAGCCAAACAAAGCAACAAGAAAATTCCAAAGTCTAGACACAACCGGGCAATGAAAAAGCAAATGATCCACCGTTTCCGCGTCACTGCAACACATACAATACCAATTCACCAAAACATGTCGCCGCCGAATCAAATTATCAATAGTGAGGATACGCCCCAAAGCAGCTGTCCAAACAAAGAAAGACACTAAGCCAAACAAAGCAACAAGAAAATTCCAAAGTCTGGACACAATCGGGCAATGAAGAAGTAAATGATCCACCGTTTCCGCGTCACTGCAACACATACAATACCAATTCACCAAAACATGTCGCCGCCGAATCAAATTATCAATAGTGAGGATACGCCCCAAAGCAGCTGTCCAAACAAAGAAAGCGACCTTAGAAGGAGAACCCGTTGCCCAAATACATTTCCAAGGAAACACCCCACCAACTCCCCCTGCAAGCATCCCATAAAACGAGGACACTGAGAAAACACCTTTAGAGCTCCGGAAATCCCATACTAAAGAATACATCCCATCCTCCCCATTCTGCACGCCATACAAAAAGCCTAGAAGATCTACCAATTGGTCTAGCTCCCAATCCTGTACATCACGACTAAGACGAACATTCCAAACAACTGATTCCCCTTGCTTCACCCTAACCGAAGCAACCAACTCCTCCCCAGCAGCAGTAATAGCATAAACCAAAGGAAACATGGCTGCCAAAGTCAAACCATCACGCCACCAATCGAGCTAGAAGTGAACTCAATCTCCAAGCCCCACTTTAAACCGAACCGTCTCCCAAAACACCTCCCTCCCCAACCAAATCCCCTTCCACAAACCACGATCATAAGATTGAACCACCCTCTTCGAGCAACATCCCCTCTCTCCTCCCCATGCTTAGCCACCACCACCTTCCTCCGTAGCCTCTCTCGTTCCCCTGCAAAACGCCACAACCACTTACCCAATAAAGACCAATTAAACACCACCAATTTCCGCACACCCAAACCCCCCCTCCTTCAAATTACAAACCCTCTCCCAAGCCATCAAATGATACTGAAAACCCTCCCCACCCCCACTTCACAAAAATTCCTGTTGCAGCTTCTCTAACCTTTTTTGCCACCCCCACAGGAATCACCTGCCCAGACATAAAGTAAGTCGAAATGCTGGACAAAACACTCTTGTTCAAAGTAATACGCCCCCCTTTTGACAAGTATTGGTGCTTCCACCCTGCCAACCGCCACTGAACTCTGTCCACCACCCCATCCCACACTCAAGTCTCCTTAAAAGAAGCCCCCAAGGGAAGTCCCAAATAAGAAACTGGCAACCTTGCCACTTTACAGCCCAAGACAGCGGCCAACACCAGTAATCAAGCCACCTCACCCACGGTATCAATTATGATTTTGACAAATTAACCCGCAACCCTAACACCGCCTCAAAACATAACAAAACAGATCGCAAGTTGCCAATCTGAGTAGCCTCTGTATCACAAAAAATCAATGCATCATCAACATAGAATAGATGAGAGACCACCAAAAAGGCAGACCCCTCCCCCACCACAAAATCCGATAATAAGCCCCCTTGGACCGCCC